TAATAAAAAAATATTTAACATTACAACTTAAAGAATTAGAAACAGAAGCATAAGAGAAGCCCAGAGAAAGTAGAAGGAAGGAAATAATAAAGGTTAGAGCAGAAATAAATGAAAGAGATTTTTTAAAAAATCAATGAAACCAAGAGCTAGTTATCTGAAAAGATAAGCAAGATTATGAACTGTTATCCAGACTCATCAAGAAACAAAGACATAGGACCAAAAAAATCAAAATTAGAAATGAAAGAGGTGAATTAACCACAAACACCACAAAAATAAAAAGATTGTAAGAAAATAAAAATCTCTGTATCATTTATGTCAACAAGCTAGACAATGTGGATGAAATGGACAAATTCCTAGAAAACTACAATCTTCCAATAATATATCAGGAAGAATCAGAAAATCTGAATGGGTCAAAAACAACTAATAAAATTTAAGCAGTAAACAAACAAACAAACAAAAAACTACAACAAAAAACTCCCAGCAATCAAAAGCTCTAATCCAGGTTCACAGGAGAGTTTCACCAAAAATCCAAAGAACAACTAACTCTTAAACTCTGTAAACTATTGCAAAAATTAAAGAGGAAGGAGCATGTCCAAGCTCTTTCTATGAGGTCTAGATTACCCTAATCCCAAAACCATATAAAGACACTAAAAAGATAGATAATTACAGGCCAATATCCCTGATGTACATAGATGCTAAAATCCTCAATAAAATATTAGCAAATTGGATCCTGCAATATATTAAAAAGATTATATTCCAAGACCAAATGGGATTTATTCCAGGGATGCAAGGCTGGTACAATATTTGTGAGGGCATGAGCAGGGGGCATGGAGGAGTAATGGGAGGATAAGGATACCTCAATCAATAAAAAACATTTAAAAATATTTGTAAATCAATAAACTGGTACATCACATTAAAAATTGAAAGACAAATATCAAATGATAATAAAAATATATTCAGAAAAAGCATTCAACAATTTCCAACACTCATTTTTTAATAAAATCTCTCAGCAAAGTGAGAATAGAGGGAACATATATCAATGTGATAAAGGCTATATATGACAAACCTACAGGTAGCATCATACTCAATAGGCAACATTTAAAATCATTTCCTCTAAGAACAGGAACAAGACAGGGATGTCTGCTTTCACCACTCTTATTCAACATAGTACTGGAAGTCCTAGCCACAGCAATTAGACAAAATGAAGAAATAAAAGGTATCCAAGTTGAAAAGGAGGAAGTAAAACTGTCATTCACAGATGACATGATATTGTACATAAAAAACCCAAAGGACTCCACCAAAGAATTTCTAGACTTAATAAACAAATTCATCAATGTAGCAGGATACAAAGTTACACCCAGCAATCTAAGGCATTTTTGTACACCAATAATGAACTCTCAGAAAGAGAAATTACACAAATAATTCCATTTGCTATAGCAACAAAAAAAATTGAGATATTTAGGAATGAACTTACCAAGGCAGTAAAAGACTTTTACTCAGAAAAGTATGAACATTAAAAAGAGAGATAGAAAAAGATATAAACAAGTGAAATAATATACTATATTCGTGTATGGTAGAATTAACATCATTAAAATGTCCATACTACCCAAGTCAATTTACAGATTCAATGCAATCCCTATTAAAATACCACCAGCTTATTTCACAGATCTAGAACAAATATTCCAAAAACTAATATGAAATTTTAAAAGACTATGAATAAATGCAGCAATCTTGAGGGAAAAAAAATAAAGTTGGAGCAATCACAATACCAGATATAAAGTTATATTACAAAGCCACTATTCTCAAAACTGCCTGGTGGTGGCACAAGTACATGCATACAGATCAATGGAACAGTACAGAGACACCAGAAATCGCCCCAAGCCATTACATTCAATTAATATTTGACAAAGGAGACAAGAACATACAATGGAATCAAGACAGTTTCTTCAATAAATGGTGTTGAGAAAGTTGAACAGATGCATGCAGAAAAAAGAAACTAGACCACCAACTTACACCATACACAAAAATAAACTCAAAATGGATAAAAGACTTAAATGTAAGATGGGAAACCATAAGAATCTTAGAGGAGTACATAGGCAGTATAATCTCAGACATCTCATATAGCAATATGTTCTGATACATCTCCTAGGGCAGTAGTTGGCAAACCACGGCTTGAGAGCCACATGCAGCTCTTTGGCACCTTGAGTATGTCTTGGTGTCAGAACCACTTCTTCAAAATAGACTCGCCCAGGCCGAAAACTGACTTCTGCGCATGGGCCATGAAGTTTCAATCGCACTGGTATTTTGTGGAAGAGCCACACTCAAGAGGACAAAGAGCCACATGTGGCTCACGAGTCGTGGTTTGCCAATCACTGGTCCTAGGCTAGGGCAATGGAAACTAAAGAAAAAATAAACAAATAGGACTACATCAAAATTAAAAGCTGCTGCACGGCAAAAGAAACCATCAACAAAACCAAAAGAGAGCCCAGTGTATGGGAGAACATATTTGACAACGATTCATCTGATAAAGGTTTAATATCCGAAATATATAAAGAACACGTACAATTTAACAAAAAGATGACAAATAGTCCAATTAGAAAATGGATAAAGGACATAAATAGACATTTCTCCCAACTGAAAATACAGAAGGCCAAAAGACATATAAAAAATGTTCAAAGTCACTGCTCATCAGAGAAAGGCAAATCGAAGCAACAATAAGGTACCACTTCACACTTGTCAGAATGGTTATCACCAACAAATGAAAAAAGGAGAAGTGCTGGTGAGGTTATGGAGAAAAGGGAATCCTCAAACACTGCTGGTGGGAATGCAGAGTGGTGCAGCCACTGTGGAAAATAGTTTGGAGTTTTAAAATGTAACTCCTATTTTGACCCAGTTATCCCTCTTCTAGGAATATATCCTAAAAAACCTGAAACAACGATCAGAAAGCATGCATACACCCCTATGTTAATGACAGCACAATTTACAATAACTAAAATCTGGAAACAGCCCAAGTGCCCATCAGTAGACCAGTGGATAAAAAAGCTGTGGTATATTCATACCATGGAATACTATGCAGCAGTAAAACTTGACGTCTTACACTTTGAGACAGCATGGAGGGACTTAGAGAGTATGATGCTAAGTGAAATAAGTCAGAGAAAGATAAGTATCAGATTATCTCAAACTTATGTGGAATCTAATTAACAAAATAAACTAACGAAGGGAGTGAATCCAGAGACATGGAAGAATGGAACAGAATGTAGAATCTGGGAGGGTAGGTGAAGGAGGGTTAATGAGTAGGAGGTGATCAACAAAAGAACTTGTATGCATTTATACATAACTAATGGTGAAAGCCTGGGGTCAGTAGTAGGGGAGGCTAGAGGTGGTCAATGGGGAAGAAAAAGGGACATACATAATACTCTCAACAATAAAGATTTTAAAAAAGAAAAGTGCAAAAAACTGCAAAAATAAAAATAAATAAAATCTATATAAACTTATTAACCAATTTCACTTCATAAATTAGTGCAAAACATTTTTATATGTTATATGAATGTAAAGTATTGTATAGGGAATGAAGTTAGTAATACTATCTAATAAAAAAGTAATATGCAATTTGACCATCTCTCCAACACACAAGAAGGCCACTCCCATGTGGTCAAAGATGGCCACCCCAAGATGGCCAGCAAGGGAGGGCGGTTGGGAGGGACCAGGCCTGCAGGGGAGGGAAGTTTGGTGTCAATCAGGCTGGCAGGGGAGTGGTTAAGGGGTGATCAGGCTGGCAGGCAGGTGAACGGTTAGAAGCCAGCAGTTCTAGATTGTGAGAGGGATGTCTGACTGCCTGTTTAGCCCTGGAATCAGGCCGAAAAGTTGGACATCCCTCATGGGGTCCCAGATTGGAGAGGGTGCAGTCTGGGCTGAGAGACAGCCCCCACCCTGTGCACGAATTTCGTGCACCAGGCCGCTAGTACTATAATAAATTTATCATGTCATATGGGCACACTAGTTATCAGAGTAATCACCTCATAAGATTAATATACATATAGATATATAATAACTAAAAATTATATTATACATCTAAAACTGATATAATATTGTTTGAAAAGTATATTTTTAAAAAGAGGTTTTTTCCTCCCAAGATTATCTGGGTTGTGTTTTTTTGTTTTGTTTTTTTCGTGTGTGGTGTTTTTTGTTGTTTTTTTTTTGTATTTATAAATTTTGTAGTTTACATATTTTTCCTTTTCTGTAATATATGAATAAGTCCTTTTTCTTCAATAAATACAATGAATAAAACCTAAATTAGCTCACAGGAACAAATCCAAATAATTTAATTCGCTGTTCCTAGGATTAAATTTATGGTATGAAGGATATTCAACTTAAATTAACTTTCTGTGTTTTTTTCTACCTGAAACCCTGTGTTTTTTTCTACCTAAAACCCTAAGTGCAGAGCTAGAGAAATTAATTCCTATAAAACACATAGTTCTCATGCAAATCAGCATGATAAACAGAAGTGACAATGGAAATGAATTGCTTAATTGCATATAAATAATCCAAGTTTCAGATTCAATTTATAGAATGTCTTGATAATCTATTGTACAACTAATAAATTGACAAAGAAAATATGTCATTGTTTCTTAAAGTATATCTGTCTTTATCATTCCATTCTCACCTAGCAACATAATATTATATCTGTATTTCTCATAATTACCTAACTAACATTCATAATTGGCTTAAGGATGGAAATAATAAAAACAGAATGTAATACATTAATAAAAAGAACAGAAGAAACAATTTACATTTCATTTTGCATTATTCAAAACTCCCATTGTCTTAAAATTGATGACCACCTTATACCAGTAGATTCAAGTTAAGAAAACTAAACAAAACTAAAATATAAGTAATTTTGTTAAAGAACCAATTAGTGCATCCACATGTATATTTGTCTACATTTTACTTTGTAGCTTTTAGAAACAGTAAATGAATGAAGTATGTTTAATATCACTTACCTCACCACAGGACCTAGAAGCAAAATGTGCCCAATAAGCATTAAATATTTATATCTGGTCCAGTCTTTGTGGAAAAACATAAGGCTAAGTTGATCCAAAACTGCTCCCATAATAGTAAAGCCAATGGTGAATGACATCCAGTATACATCATTATTCTTTCGATAAACATAAAAAACATACACAGCAGAGACAATCTCAGCACAATAGAGAAGAGCTGAGAATAAAATGCTAAATGGAAATTGTATATAGCATCTGTGGTCAGGAAGTATTTCATCTTCCACAGCTGGAGCGTGACCTCTGATTTCTTCATTAGGTTCTTCCGCCACTGTCTCCATTCTTCAGGTGCTAGCAATCCAACCTCCTTCTCTTAAATAATAAATACAGTAAAGGTTAACATCCAATCCAAATAGCAGTAAACAAGATCTTATACAATTTAATACTCATTGAAAATGCAAATATAGGCAGCTAAATATAGACCGCGGACTATGACATAATTCCACATCTGGTTTAGAGAAGATTGAAATACAATATCTAATTCTACCTATTATTCAGGAAATCTTGTTATAAATAAATTGTTATTTTAGAAAATTTAAAGATCAGAGTAGACTTCGTTATGTCGGAATGTCCTTTTTGAAACTGTTTGCTCTAATATATATAAGCTTACACTAAGCACCTACATGTACTCCAGCTTATAATTGTTATCCTTAAAGGTGAACAACACAGACTGATGAACAAGAACAGACAGAGATAAGGAGTCATAGGTCAGACTGTTGGACCTCAAAGGGAGGGTGGGGATAAAAGGGAGAGATCAACCAAAGGACTTATGTGCATACATATGAGCCTAAGCAGTGGACTAGGACAATAGGGGGTTGGAGGCATGCGTGGAGAGGGGTGGGGGATTGGAATGGGGGTTTGAGGACAAATATGTGATACCTTAATCAATAAAAAAAATTTTAAAAAGAAAACGTTCACTAACAATTAGCAATATACTACACTAAACCTAAAATACAAACCCCATACAAATATAGATTTATGTCTGCTTTGTTCTCAGAACTGCCCCAAACAGTACCTGATATCTTGTAATGTCTTAATAATTATATGCTGAATAGAGGAAAAATAAAAACGGATGGAAAGTTACTTTTGAGAAAACTCCTTCTCTCAGCTTGTCTTCCCACAAGACAACACTCCCAATTTTATAAAGTCTACTCTGAACTTTGTTTATTCTAAAAACATACAAGACGTAAGTAAATTCACTTATTTCTATAACACTCCTTATTCTGTCCTAAAATTAGGCTGAGGACGCTGAAGCCGAAAAAAATGTTTGTCCATATTATCTGTTTGTCATGGCATAATATTTGGAAGAATATTTATATGCATTTGTTATAAGTGGTAAATTTCCCTATCATAATATTATCTCCTCAGTTTTTCCTATTTAACCTGAAAAACACTGCTTTGTAATTAATGACAACTTTAATTTAGCTCATATGCTTTTTCAGCTGTTCAAAGCCCTGCTACTTTAGTGAGTGTAACCCATTCAAATTTATCTGTATTTAACCTGAAACACAGTCTCTTACAAACATAGGTCTGAAACACCAACCAATATATTGTTGTTTATTGATATATAATTCATACCCACAAAACTTATCCTTTTAAAGTACACGTTTGGTGATTATTTTTCCAGGATGATTAGAGTTTTACAAACAATACCACTATCCTATATAATAAAAGGCTAATATGCAAATTGATGAAATGGGAAGAGGGGGCGACAACCAGTCGCTATGACATGTACTGACCAGTCAATGGTGGTCAGACACTCAATGCAGGAGCTTCCTCCTTAGTGGTCAGTGCACTCACACAGGGGGTGTGCCGCTCAGGCAGAAGCCGGGCTCATGGCTTAGGGACACCCCACACACACACCAAGTGCATGAATTTTGTGCACCAGGACTCTATTCTAAAGATAAAACATTTCATCACCCTAAAAAAGAAACTATACTGATTAGAAATCAATCTCATTTCCCTCCATTTCTAGCTCTAGGCAATCACTAATGTATTTTTCTCTATACTAGATTTGGACTTTCTGGACATTTTATATGAGTGGAATGATAGAATATTTAGCATTTTCTAACTGATAGCCTATATTCTGGACTATATTCAATGAGGTTAGTATAACAAACAGCCACATACGTAGATATAATATCTCTTTCTGGGTGAGAGGATAGTTCTTAGCTCCTTTTAAAAGACCAAGGTTTACAAAGCATAGAATTTCCAAGCAGTGATACAAAATACTGCACATGCAGCATCAACCCAGATCCAACTACACACCCTACCTATTGCTCTTCATATAGCATGAATGTTATTATCGATATCTTCCCTAAACTGCAATATTCTTCACAGTGGTTGATATCAACTGAAATTCTTCTACCTGTTGAATTCTTACTGTCATAATTATTACATCTGCACTTTTGATCCAGTCCCATGAAAATTACTAAATGTCAATTAATGCACTATATATAGATGAATATTTCATTCAATTATATTTAATACAGTGTTTCCCAAACTTTTGACATATGTGTACCCCTTCTATAATTTTCGTAACGCTGAGTACCCCTCGTACTCATGAGAACGTAGAATTAGGCGCAGCTAAGCACGGAGCAGTGCATATCCCCACCAAACTCTTCCCGTACCCCTGGGTGTATGTGTACTACACTTTGGGAAACACTGATATAACATTAGCTTTATTTCTATCCCTTTAGAGAATTACAAACTTTCAGTTAAACAAAGAAAAAATAATTCTTAATTTTTTCACTTTTGCAAATCCCCTTTTAGACTAATGTTCAATCACTATAGTTTGTATTCTATCACAGAGCCATTGAATATTTTCTGATAAAACAAACTAGAAATAAATTATGTAAACAAAAAAATTAAGCAAGTCATTGAATTGAACCTTTAAGGAGACAGTGAAGAGAAATATGACTGAAAAAATAAGGGAATCAACATATAACATTTCAATGTACATTTAAATACCATTCATCTTTAATCTATCTTAAGTTAATTTTTGTACATAGGGACAAATGGTAGTCTAGTTTTATCCTTTTGCATGAGAGTTTCCAATTTTCTCAAGGCTACTTATTGAAAAAATTTTATTTTTTTAATTTTAAGTTTTGGGCTTTTTTTGTTGAAAATTACTTTCCCATATACACATGTGCTTATTTTCAGGCTCTCAATTCTGTACCATTGACATGTTTTTATGACAATATCATGATGATATTTCTCTTTTCTTTTTAAAAAAAATATATATATTTTATTGATTTTTTTTACAGAGAGGGAGGGAGAGGGATAGAGAGCTAGAAACATCGATGAGAGAGAAACATTGATCCGCTGCCTCCTGCACACCCCCTATCGAGGATGTGCCTGCAACCAAGGTATATGCCCTTGACCGGAATCGAACCTGCGACCTTTCAGTCCACAGGCCGATGCTCTATCCACTGAGCCAAACCGGTTTCGGCAATATTTCTCTTTTCTGAAATTATCAGGGTACAATGGATAATAACATTTTATAGTAATCAGGTATACAGTTTTACACTTATGTAATGGGCAAAGGACCTGAACAGACATTTCTCCAAGAAGGACACAAAGATGGCCAAGAGATATATGAAAGGTTGCTCAACATCACTAACCATCATAAATATAAATTAAAACCACAATGATGGAGACTATTATGATGAGCCAACCTGAGAAAGATAAATGTCGCATGATCTCACTTATTTGTGGAACCAAATGAACAAAATTAATTGACCAACAAAATAAGACCTGAAGCTTGGAGGCATGGAACAGACTGACATACTTCAATGTGGAGTTAGGCGCACAAGAAGAGATCAACTAACTTATATACTTACTAGAGGCCTGGTGCATGAAAATTTGTACACTCGGGGGTGGGGAATCCTTCAGCCTGGCCTGTACCCTCTACCAGTCCAGGAGTCCTTGGGGGATGTCCACCTCCCAACTTAGGCCTGCTCCACAGGGGATTGGGCCTAATCTTGCAGTCAGACATGCCTCTGGTAGCCCAGGAGACCTTGGGAGATGTCCGACTAATGCTTTAGGATGTGTGACAAATGGCTTAGGCCTGTTCCCTCTGGCTGCCTGAGCACCCCTAAGCTGGACAGTCCAATTTTTAACCATTTGTCGCGCATCCCATGGCATTTTTTAAAAGTCCCAATTTTTGGAATCTCTCTTTCTACCTGATCCCATTAACCCCCTCTGCCTGCCTGACCCCCCTAACTACATGATCGCCCCTAATTGCCTCTGCCTGCCTAATCACCTCTAACAACCCCTGATTGCCTGATCACTGCTAAGCAATCTGCCTGCCTGATTGCCCCTAAGCACTACTGACTGCCTAATCACCCTTAACCACCTCTGCCTGTCTGATTGTCCCTAACAGCCTCTGCCTGCCTGATTTCCCATAACCACTTGCCTACCTGCCTGATCACTCCTAACCACCTGTGCCTGTGTGATAGCCAGTAAGTATTCTGCTTGCCTGATCTCCCTAACCCCCTCTGCCTGTCTGTTCACCCTTAATCACTGCCTGTCTGCCTAATCTCCCCTAAATGCCTCTGCCTCTCTGATTGCCACTAACGACTTGCTTGCCTACTTGATGGCCCCTAACCACCTCTGCCTGCCTGACCACCCCCAACCTCCTCTACCTGCATGATCACCCATAACCACTCTGCCTGACTGATGGCCCCTAAACACATCTGCCAGCCTGATCGCCAATAACCACTTACCTGCCTAATCAGCTCTAACCACATCTGCCTGCCTGATCATTCCTAAACACCTCTGCCTGCCTAAACCACCTCACTGCCTCGGCCAGCCTGAACACCTAACCACCTCTGACTGCCTGATCACCCCTAATAGCCACTGCCTGCCTAATCACCATTAACCACCTCTGCCTGCCTGATGGCCCCTAAATGCCTCTGCCTGCCTGATTGCCACTAACGACTTGCTTGCTTGCCTGATTACCCCTAAGCACTCTGCCTGTATGATCACCCCTAAGCAATCAGCTTTCCGGATGGCCCCTAAGCCCCACTACATCCCCAATCACCTGTAACTGCCTCTGCCTGCCTATTCACCCATATGCACTCTGCCTACAGGATCTCCCTAAATTCCCCTGCCTGCCTGATTCCCGTAAGCACTCTGCCCGCCTGACCACCCCTAACCACCTCTGACTGCCTGAAACCCCTAAATGCCTCTGCCTATCGGATTGCCTCTAACTGCCTTTGACTACCTGAACACCCCTAAGCACTATGCCTTCCTGATCCCCCTAACTGCCTCTGCTTGC